GAGTGAGTTTCTTTCTTGTACCTATTGCAAACGTTTATTACATTTACAGAGTATATTTGAAACTTATGGTATTGCAGTTACATAAGATAATTAATTTCAGCACATATTCTACTGTAGATAGGATTTTGGATTAGGCTGCGAATATATCTTGATGAGAACACGCATTATACGTGCTAGACCAACACTTTATTTTAGATTATTTTGATACAGTATTCGATTGTAGAAGTTTTTTAATCTTACAGTTACTGTCAACTATTTTCCAATCATTAATTTGTGTCAAAAAATTTGTGAGATTCTTTTAGGTCAGGAATTGTTGTTTACACACACAATTTGGTTGATTCAGAATTCGAGGAAAGTAATTCGTTTACTATTGCACCTAATACATTTCACACTATTCATAATATTGGTGAATACACGTATTATCAGACCAAACCACACGATCAATGCACGTATTTCTTCCAAAGACGCCGAATAACAAAGAAGGCACAAAAAGATATCGAAGACATTGAATTCTCGGTTTTAGCGGTAAGTTTTTTCTTATTATTCGAAAATAACGGGAGAATATCGCGGGATTAATACGCTTTGATTTTCATCGTTTTTCTTTATATTTCAACTGTTTCATTTTCCAGGTATCATATAGTCTAATCATGAGGGTTAGTTCATTTAAATTATTTCCTCCTTTGTATTTCATCGCCTTTGTGTTTTTACTTTTATTATACTCATCAAGATCAAATGATAATTTTATTATATTTGACAAAGATAAGGAATAAAATCTTTGGTTGAATATTTTTTAACTATCCTTACAATTTCTTGGTTTTAGAAATGATTTTGCTCAATATGATTTTGAAATTTAACTAATTCAGCAATACCATGTAGTCTTTGATTAATAATTAGTAAATACCTTTCTTATGTGAGCATGTAAAAGAATCATTGCTATGGAAGTAAGTGATAAAATCCAACTCCTGGGAGTTGGATTTTTTCTCAAATATTCTGAAATATTTTTAGTATCCTTGTGGTTTCAAAATTTCCTCAGCGATGTATGATGAATCGATTCCTGGAGTAGTTTACGTGATGAGAAGCGAAACTGAAACGGCGCTAGTGACACCGAATATGATAATTTCTGACACCTTAAAAAATGTTCAAAATGAAAAGTTCTTGAAAAATACCATCTACTCCACATCGTTTCCATATGTTCTTTACAAGTTAGTCTTAGCCACTTTTTTCAAAACAAAATTCTTTTTTGGCCATCTTTTCCTTCAAGAAACTATGTAACCCTTAATAATCGTTCATATCGGAAGTACATGTTGACCGCTTAGAGACTTTGTGTAACAGCACAAATCGATGGTCTTCATTAATTGCTATTCGAAAACCACCTAACACGACTAGGTATTAGATCTTTCGGTAATATTGAAATGCTTCATAATTTGCAGTGATTCCAAAGGAGCCTCAGTTTTAAGTGTCGAGAATCCTAGCGAGTAAGTTGGTTGATTTTAACTGCTTTATGTGACTTTATCTTGCGAAATTCAATGTGACATAATCATGAGGTTTTATTATTTCCGAATCGAAGATAATTATTGGAAATGTATGTCTCACTTATAAAAACTGTATTATAAAATTATTTGTATAATGTATACAAAAAGCGCAAAGGCATACTAATACTGCTAGTTCTTTGGTACAAAAGTAGATATTTTAGTGTAAAAATAACCTTCGACATTAAATTCGATACTATTGGTATCTACACCGGGAAAATTCTATATCGAGAAGCGTAAGTATCGTTCATTTTGTTCTTTTTGAATTAACAAGCGTTATCTGGATAAAATAAATTAATGGGAATTTGATGACAATTTATATCATTTAACTCTCATTTTTACTCTTTTTTATCAATTTTTTTTTAAACAGAAATTCATTTTTTTTGTTAACTTTCTAGCGAAGTAAAGCATATTTTGCATCCGGAGACAGAAGCAATCGAGATGCAAAGTTATCATTGGTAGCTGCAACCAAAGCTGCGGTCAAATAAGATTTTGAAAGTAATGCACCATTCAAGTTCCTATAAAATACGTTTTCAAATCTGTTAACTGTAATGAAACGTGAAAGTAGAAAATAAGTTGCGCACATACTACAGCATGCTTACTTGCTTGCTGTCATTACTTCTGCGTTCACTTTTTCTTCCCTCATTAGCTTTTTCATTATTTTTTTC